GATGGGCGGGACCTACCCACGATGATGGGCGGGACCTACCCACAAAGATGGGCGGGACCTACCCACAATGATGGGCGGGACCTACCCACAATGATGGACGGGACCTACCCACGATGATGTGCAGGGCCGAGGTCTTTGCGTCGTTGATGCCGACGGTGGAGTAACACACACAATCTGTGGACCCTAAGAAGGGAAAAGATTTTAGAAAACGAAGTTTCTGGCTAATGCATGGCTCCTCCTTTTCCTCCAGGGCCCCCGAGTAAATAAGGAACAAATACGCTTTATCCACAAAATGAATGTTGGGAACAGTGAGGTGAACTCGTCAGAAATGCCGAGTGGCCTTGCAACACCACCAACCAGCTCCTCAGCCGGGAGTGAAGCCCCGAGAAACGCCTGCGGCGGCCGGTCCAGCAGCTCAGGGGGAGGCCTGCCAGCCCCGTCCCAGCAGCGGCTGCGGCTGCGGCTCCCGTGGTCCCAGGTGGCACAGAGCCTGTCCCGCGGGAGACGGGAGCGGAGGGTCTTAATCATTGCGTCTCGGCTACCCTGGCTCTGACGGCCACTCACACACACAGGCTCCCACGTCGTAGTATGCGTACGTTTTTGTCAATCTTGACTGGAGTGACAGCCGAGTCAAAAAATGAGCCAAAAGATAAACGTTTTTAAAGGACCGTTTAAGACGACAGGAGTGACCGATTCTCAAAATGTCACCCCCTGAGCCACAGCACGGGGTTTCCGACGGCCTCCCTCGCCCTCCTCGTTACGACCAAGGGGCCCAGACAACAAGCACAACATGCCCGAGAGGACCAGCCGGAAGGAGCCGCTGAGCCTGCTGGAGCCAGGCCCCAAGGTGGGGTCCCGCCGTCCCTGGAACTTTCCGGAAGTCCTCAGAGCCGCGTGCCCCCCTCGCGTGCCCGCTGCGCTGTTGGCTTCCTTCACCAACCGTCCTTCACAACAGAACCCGTCAGACGCCCTCCCTCCTTCATCAGATGAAGTGACCGGCGGGCGCTGCTTTCTCCGTTGCTCCAGGTCGTAAGACCCCAAACCTTGAAGGTCCCCCTCATTTCTGGGGCTGCCTCGCCTCTAACTGCTCACATCAAGCAGCCATTATAAGGAAGCTGGGCCCCAGCAGGTTTGGCTCAGTGGACAGAGCGTGGGCCTGCGGACTGAAGGGTCCCGGGTTCGATTCCGGTCAGGGCGCATGCCCGGGTTGTGAGCTCAGACTTTGCGTCTCTCTCTCCCTCTCCCTTCCTCTCTGAAATCAATAAAAATACATTTAAAAAGGAGGGGAGGGGAGGTTGGAAGTCCCCTAAGGAACTTCAAGGAGGGCTCTGTTCTGGGGAAAAGCAGGAACCCCTGACCACGGGACACCACCCTTCACCCCACAACACACAGGCCCTTCCGGCCCATCTCAGCGAGGCCCCTCCCGTGGGAGGCGTGGCCGGGGCGGGGAGGCCTCCCGG